GTAGTCCTAGACTGGGTCCGGTAAGATGAGTACTGGGGCTGTGGTCAGTGCTGTCTGTAGGTGCTTCATGGCTTGCTGAAGAGGAGTATCCCATTTGTAGGGCGTATCCTTTTTCAGTAGGTCTGTCAGTGGCGCTGCTATCTTAACGTACTGCGGCACGAACCTGTTTTAGTACTTGGCGAAGCCTAGGAAGTGCTGCAACTCCTTCACGTTCTCAGGTATTTTCCACTTTTTGACGGCTTCGATCTCCGCACTCACCATGTGCCAGAGAAACTGCACTTTCTTCAGGGCGAAGTCGCTCTTAGATAGCTTCACGTAGAACTTGTTTTTCCGGAGGATGTCGAACACCATCCGCAGATGCTCTACGTGCTCCTAAATGTTCTTGGAGTAGATAAGAATGTCGTCCATGTACACCACTACGCACTTGTCCAGCAGGGGTTGTAGGATGTGATTCATATGCGCCTGAAATGTTGCTGGTGCGTTGCAGAGTCTGAACGGCATTACTAAGTACTCGTAGGAGCCGTATTTGGTTCGGAATGCCGTCTTGTGGATCGAGTTGTCCGCCATCTTAATCTGCCAGTAACCCGACTATAGGTCCAGCTTCGAAAAGACTGTTGCACCACGCAGTTGGTTCAGTTGGTCGTCTATGCACTATATGGGGTATTTGTTTCTGAATGTCTGTTTGTTCAGTGCGCGGTAGTCTATGCACATTCGTAAACTACCGTCTGGTTTTGGAGTGAAGTGAACTGGTGCACCGTAGGGAGAGGTGGATGGGCAGATCAGTTGTTTGTCCAATAGATACTCTATCTGCTTCTTCATGTCTGTCAGGTCGGTCGGACTCAGTCGGTATGGTGCACGTGAGACGGGTTTCGCACCTAGTTCTTCCACAATCTCGTGCTCGTTGGTGCGTAGTGGATGTGTGCTTGCAGGTAGGTCGTCGGGCATTATATCATTGTACTGTTCCAAGACCTCCTTTACTGCTGCAGGTAGCTCTGTGTTCGGCTTCTCATCCTCTGCTGCTGCCATAACCAGTGCTAGGTATCCCGTGTTACTCTCGTTCACCGTCTGTTCAAACCGTGTCAGTGTTGTTTCACGAACGCTCCCTATGTCTCTCCAGCTTTGCTGTTCCACTTGTTTCTGGTTGTTGTAGATGCACGCCTTCCTGTTGACCCAGTCGATCTCGGGGTTGAACCGCTTCAAGAAATCTCGCCCCAAGATGAAATATAAACCCTTGATGTTTGTGATCGGCAACATTTGCTTCCACCTCAGCGCCCCTATGTGCAGCTGCAGTGATGCTTTGCAGTGGATGTGAAGTTTTGTACCGTCCACCATCGCTGCCGTGAACTTGGTCTCCTCCGAAGGTTCTCCAATTTTCTCCAACGTCCCGCGGTCGCACACCGAGTGGGACGCACCACTGTCCACTAGTGCCTGGAGGCGTCGCCCGTTGTAGGTCACCTTGAGTAGTAGTGGTTGTTGCCGCTTCGAGTAACTGTAGATGGTCTTGCTTATAGGATCGTAGGATATGTCGAATAGATTATCCCTAGGTCATGCGCTTGAAGCTGCTGACTCCATATCAGTTTTCAACTGAGTAGGGTTAGAAGGATTTGTCCGAGGCCGATTCAGTTTCGTCTAGGCCTGGAACCTTCCCCTAAGCCTTTGCAGTTGTGTAGGCTTCACCTGTGGGCAATGGGGAGCCTTAACACTGTGCTGCGGGGAGATAATATTAAATCCTTGGAACGCACGACCCTTTTCAACGCTCCAAAGTGGTTTGCCCAACTTCTCAGGTACCTAAATAATATGTAAGGGCTTTTTTTTACCCTCTAAATCTCCCCTGAATTTCTCAAATTTCGTTTTAGAAATATGTAAACAGGGAATTTGGTTAACTTGTACCTGCGGTACTACATTTCAATATCTACCAATCGTGGTGCACTAGTTGCTTACTCATATGGCCGTCGAATTCCGTTTTCAGAAACACATTTTGTACCTTTGCCTATCATTAACAGAAAAAGTTGTAGATCAGAGTTTTTGATCGCGACATGGTACTCCCACCGAGTTCCTTAAAGGTTCATAATAAATACGTTTCGTTTTTGCATGGTGGCATCAACTCTAACAACATTTATTTTGACATCATAGAGAAAAACCGTTGTATTATATACACCAGAATTTACGCTACAGTTTCGTTTAAGCACAATGTTTCTTGAAATCTGGATGTGCGAAGCATGTTAGGTACCACTAGATAACAAAATTCTTGTCAGATTTTTTGATCGGGACCTAGTACTTTTACGAATGTCTAAAAAGCATCAAAGCCATTATAAACCCGTTCCGGAATAAGGCCAATGTGGCCACATCCCGTGTTGTGATATTATAAAGGAAAATAAGTGTATTGATTTTTTCGTTTGAAGTTCGCGCCAACCATGGTCCACGTGGCGGAGACACTTGCGTCTCTGCAGGAGGGTGTGGCTCAGAGTTACGCAAGTATGGAGGAGCCAATTGAGTGTTCTGACACAGGCCGGAAGAACACCAGATCTGGGGTGTGGCGACCAGATCTAGAGAAGTTGTGGCGGGAAGTGAGGATACAGTCAGAGATTGTGGTGCTCGTGCCCATGTGTCTGAGTCCCAAAATACTTGAAAAGAACTCAGTTGTATGCTATTTCCTTATTTGATTCTTGATGGTTCAACACATTTTTGTTGAGTTCATCAGCCTTGCTTGCTTTTGTACCTTCAACCCAACAAACATGATACATTGCTTCGTTCCGTAATGCATCCATGCGCACTCATCGCCGTAACATTTCTAGTATTCTAAGCACAGTGGTGGTGACAGGTTTCGCGGATCATGTGAGGCAGACAGTCCTCTGAGAAAGGTACACTGCGATGGTGTTTGGTGGTGGTAGTGGTAATTTGCTTAGTGTAACTTTTGATGACGATGTGCCGTTTGTAGATATCGGTGACAGCCAACTGCCGCATGCCCCGATAGATCTAACCGGGGACCGCAATTGGGACTTGAACTTTGCACCAGCATTTGACGGAGACGTGTTCATGGATGCTCAGGAAGAATTTCCGACCTCAAACCCTCATGCCGGAGTCGAAGGAAATGTGGCTGAGGGCGCAAATCCGAGGGGCGAAAGGAGTTTGGTGGTGGTAGTGGTAATTTGCTTAGTGTAGCTTTCGATGATGATGTGCTGTTTGTAGATATCGGTGACAGCCAACTGCCGCATGCCCCGATAGATCTAACCAGGGACCACGATTGGGACTTGAACTTTGCACCAGCAGTTGACAGGGACGTGTTCATGGATGCTCAGGAAGAATTTCCGACCTTGAACCCTCATGCCGGAGTCGATGGAAACGTGGCTGAGGGCGCAAATCCGAGGGGCGAAAGGCGTTCGGGGATGTAGTTTGACCTCGGAGACGATGACGACAACGGGCACATGGCGGCGTGGGAGGAGAATTGGAAGGAGAATGCTACCCGAAGCCCAACCTATGAAGATAACACCAACGGAGATAGCGGAGATAGCTCTATCAACGGGAGCTATGCTACGGGCTAGGAACGGGGTAGGAGGGTTCTCTGCGTTCGTTCCCTTAGTCGTTTACTCGTGCTTGCACTACTTGCTGGTTCACGGGGGAATTTGGCAAGAGTTCCACTAGCAAAATTTCACAACAATTGATAGCAACAACATTGGCATCACAGACTACATCAGAGCTAGCTAGGCTGCTGGTCGACCTCCAGCGCAGCATGGTCGACCGCGCTCCAGCGCAGCAGCGCTCGCACCGCTCCAGCGTTGCAGAGTAGCGGTTCGCCAACGTTGCAAGTCCATGGTGTGGCAACGCTGCAGCAAGTCGGCTGCACAGCGTTGCACCCGCAGAACATCGGTGCACCTGCTTCGCAAGTGCGTGCAGCTGGTTGGTGCACCACGCTTCGTCACGTGCACAGCGCAGACGCCTGGCAGACTCCACGCCAGAGACTGCGCCCACCAGCCACGTCGACCTCGGGATACCACCCCCGAGGTCGGCCTTGCAGAAGTCACCCCGGCGACCTTCGCACACGTCGCCCAGGTATCCCGGTCGACCTGGCAACCATGGCTAGTCGACCAGCCTTGTCTGTCGCTGACTGCACAAGCCCGGCGTCCCCAGTCTGGCGTCCAGGCATCCAGGGCGTCGAATAGACGCCCAAGTCGGCGTCTAGGAGCCCAGAAATCCGTGCTGACGCCCAAGTCGGCGTCTGGACTCCTCGGACGTCGACCAGACGCCCAGGTCGGCGTCCGAACGCCTCAGACGTCGACCAGACGCCCAGGTCGGCGTCTGAACGCATACGTTGGCGTTCAGGAGCCTGGGATGTCGACCAGAACGCCCAGGTCGGCGTCCAGCCTCCCAGGACGCCGTCCAGGCGTCCAGGACGCTGGCCAGGCGCTCAGAACGACGCCCAGACGCCCAGGAAGGCGTCCTCCTACTCGGCGCCCTCCAGCCAGGCGCCCTTGCAGTGGCCCCCATGCCCACTGCTGTAGGTCGGCTGCATCCCCGGCACATCCGAACACGAGGTCGGCTCCGCCCAAGCGAGGACGAGGCCACACAACACTCCCGTTGACACTCCTCTGCCGCGTTCACGCTTGGGCCCCCCAGCCCCCACGGCAGTACCACTCGGAGAATAGCTCGCCGGCGTGCACACAACACACAACACGCCGGTCACCGCACCAGCCATGCAAAAGGGCATGGCACCTACTGCTGCACGTCGTCATTGCAGTCGCCCGCGTCGGCCAGGCGCACTTGGTTGACTGCAACGGCGCACCGGTTGAAGGCCGAATAGTTCAGCGCCTTCGTTAGGAAGTCGGCCGGCTTCTCAGCAGTCGGGACGACTTCAGCGAAATCTTCCAGCGCTTCACCATGTGCTGCAGCCAGGCTTGTCGCTGCTCCATGTGCTTGAGGTTGCCCATCAACCCCATGCCCTCGGCGACCGTAATGGCCGACTTGTTGTCCACACGAAGGACCGTTGGCATCCCGGCGTCCAGCTACCGGAAATCTGCGAGGAAGCGTAGGTGCCGTCCCTCCTTGCCGGCTTCGGTGTCCACCACGTACTCTGACTCGGTTGATGACAGCGTCGCGCACTTGATGCGCTGGCTTGACCAGGAGACTGCGACCCCTCCATAGACAAACATGTTGCCGCTCATGCTCGTCCGGTTCTGCTTGTTGCCGGCATCATCGGCGTCTACGTAGCCGACCAACTCCAGCGTCTCAGGTCCACCGCCGAACTCCAGAGCAATGTCACGTGTGTTGGCGAGGTAGGCAAGGTAGCAGTCGACCAGCGCCAGTGCTAATCTCTCCTCACCGTGAGGCCGCTCCCAAGCTTGCTGCAGGCAAAGGCAATGTCCGGCCTCGTCGTCGTCGCCGCGAACTGCAGCGAGCCAACCTTCTGCCGGTACTCCTCCTCCTGACGCTCTTGTACCTCCTCGTCGACGAAGGTGAGCTCGGCGTAGGCGTCGACCGAGACCGGCGTCTTTGGGTTGCGCCCGATCTGCTCCTCGTCGATGAACCGCCTATGCAGCTTGTCGGCGTAGCCCTGTTGGTGCAGCCACAGCTTCCTCGCCGGCCTGTCGCGCACGATCTCCAGCCCGAGGTACTTCTGCACCGGCGAGATCTCCCGCAGCTCGAAGGTGACTTCCAGCAGCTCCTTCAGCATCGCAGTGCTGCTGCCGGCGGCAAGTAGGTCGTCGACGTAGGCCAGCACCCAGCAGGCCACTCCCTCGTCGCCGACCTTGAAGTACAAAGCCTCGTCGACCTGGCTCTTTTCCACCCGGCGCCGACCAGCGCGTCGTTGAGCGTCAAGTACCATAGCAGCGGTGACTGCTTCAGCCCGTACAGGCTCTTCAGCAGCTTGCACACCCGGCCGATCCCATCATTGAAGTGGTCCGGCTAGTACATGTAAAGCACATGGTCGAGCTTGCTCTGCAAGAAAGTGTTCTTCATGTCGAGCTGCATCAGGTTAAGGTTGAGGACGGCGACGATGCTGAGGAAGATCCTCGGCGTGACGTAGCTGCTCACCGGCGCGTACGTCTCATCGTAGTCGGCGCCATATACCTGTGTGAAACCCTTCACGACCAGCCTCGCGTTCTCGCGCTCAACGGTGTCATCGATGCGGTACTTCGTTGTCAGCACCCACCGGTTCTTCGTGATGTTCACCCCAAGTGGGCGTTCGACCAACTCCCAAGTACCCATGGTGATGAGGCTGCGAATCTCCTCCTCCATGGCGACTTTCACAGCCTTGCCCTTCCAGCTTGCCAACGCCTCCTTCACCGTCATCGAGGAGATGTCCCAGTGGTGCTCGGGGACGGCGTGCATGTCGGGGTCGAGCTCCGGTAGTTCCTCATCCTCCTTGGCGTCGTCGTACAGCAGGTCGTCATCGACCTCGTCGTACGCCTTGGTGAAGGCAGCCGGTACATAGAAGTCGGGTGGCCTCCGAAGTTGGCCTGTACGCCATGGTCCAGGCTAGACCTCCTCGGCGTTCCCTCCATCATCACCGGCTTCGCTGCCCTCGTCGTCTTGTTGCACCTTGGTCGACTCCCCTACCGACTGCCCAGTCGCCGACTACTCCATGGTCGGCGTCGCTGCTGCCTGCTCCCCTGTCGGATGCTGCCCTACTGGTACCTTCTTCGCCGGCTTCACCAAAGTTGGATGCACCTCCTCGGCCTGCTCCTCCTCCCCTGCCGGCGTCGACTTTACTCTCACATCGACTTGCTGGACGTAAGGTCGGACCCGGCGATGCTCTTGGCCGGCGCCACAGGCGACTCTCCACTTCTCCCCTCATCGCCGGAGGCCGACACCGGAGTCAGCCCATGCAGGTCGGCCACGAGGGGAGGGGCAGGGGGTACAGGGGGAGGGGAAGAAGGACGGACAACCCCGACGTCCTCATCACCAAGCTCACCGACCTCGGCGAGCAGAGGCAGCGTCGCCGTCGAGGTGTCCGTCGGCGGGGTGGTCGGCGTCCGTCCCGTGCTCCGACTTCTACACCTCCAACGACATGTGCTGGTAGAACACCACGTACGACGTGGTGACCACCCGATTGTCGACAATGTTGAGGAGCTCCCAGCCCTTGCTCTCCTCCAACACGCCGAGATGAAGACCCCATCGAGCCTTTGACTTCAGCTTCCCACCATGTTGCTGCTCAGGGACGAGGAATTGTGCCATGCAAACCCACACGCGTGCCAGCGACAAGTCAAGCTTCTTCCCGGTGAGCAGTTGGTACGGCCTTGTCCCCGGCGGTAGTGTCGACCTCTCCAGGCAGTTGCGGACCCAGACGGCCTGCCGCAGAGAGAGGTGCCACCAGTGGTGCTGCACGCCCATGTGAAGCAACGTCGTCCGCACCGACTCCACCACCGTAAACATCTCTCGCTCCGGCATGCCGTTCTGCTGCGGGGTGTATGGGCAGGTCAGGTCGTGGACGATCCCGTTGCCGTTCACGAAGTCGGTAAACTGCTTCCCGAGGAACTCCCCTCCCCGGTCAGAGCGCAGCATCAGCACCGACTTCTTTGTCTGCTGCTCAGCCACCGCCAGCCACCGCACGAACTCCTGCAATGCATCCGACTTCTTGGCGACCGGCCTCACCCACACGTAGCGGATCTTGCGGTCCTTCAGCAGCAAGAAGTACAAGCTGCCATCTTTGGCAGCCACGCGGAATGGCCCGCACAGGTCGATGTGCACGACGGCCAGCACGTCGTCGGCGTCAGAGCCTTGGTCGGGGAAGGTGTGTCGTGTCAGCTTCCCGCCGACGCACGAGACACACGGTGAGTCGGCGCCCGACGCCGACTTGAGGTCCAACCCGTTGGCGACCTCGTGCTTCGTCGAGCTCCGGATGGTGTCCATGCCGACGTGTACAAGCCTTGAATGCAGCCTTTCCGGTGTCGACTTCGTTGCCGAGACGATCCCCCGCAGAGCCACGACCTCCATCGTGGGCGTTGTCGACTTTGCCGAGCAGGGACGCAGGTCGGTGCAGAGGACTCACCCAGTGTAAGACGCCCGACCGAGGACGTCTCCCGCCGCTGAGACGAGGAACATCCCGTCGCCATCCTTCTGCAGCTTCACGCCGTTCTCCTTCAGCTGGCCAGCCAAAAGCAGGTTCGCCCGCACGCCCGGGACGTAGAGCACGTCGAGGATGAGCACCTGCTTTCCGGCCTCCCCTTGCAAAGCGACAGTGCCGCGACCCCAGACGTCCTTCAGCGCCCCGTTGAAGCCGCGCACGTGCTTGACGTCGACGCTCGGCTGCAGGTCGACGAAGACATCCCTTGTTCCCATCATGTGGTGCGAGCAGCCGCTGTCGAGTAGGACCACCGCCGGGTTTGCCTGCACAGCTGCCGCCACCGCGTGGAAGTCCTCGCCGGCCTCCGGCGCCAGCGAGCACGACGCCACCTTGCCGTCTCGCCCCTTGCCTGCAGCAGGGGAGTCGGCGTCCTTCGCTGAGGCCGACTTCGTCGACTGCTTCTCCTTGCGCGGCTTACTCTCCCGGCGAGGGCGTCGCCAAGCCGACCTTCCTTGGCCTCCCTTGGCGTCGTCGTCGTTCGGGTTATTGCAGTAGGGGGACTCAAAGGAGAGATGGTCAAGGTCGACGCACAGCCAGAACTCCCGATGCCAACTTCCTCCTCCTCGACCGCCTCCCGTGGCCGATTTCTGCTTGTCGGCGTCCTTCACCGGCTTCCACCCACTGCTACCACCGCCGCCATGCTGCCCACGTTGCCCCGGTCGACCACCCTGCTTCGCCGGGGTGACATAGTTCACATGCGCCAGGAGCTCCTGGGACCGCTCAGCCTCCTGCATCGCTTCGTCCTGCAGGATGTACGAGGTCAAAGTGTCCTCGTTGAGCGTCGCCCGCGTGCTCGGTGCCATCAACAGTTGCTTCAGTTGGTTGTAGCTGCTTGGGAGTCCCGCATGACGTGTGTGACGTACGACGCCGTCGAGTACTGCATGCCGGCCATCCTTAAGGTGGCGAGAATTTGCCGGGCTCGGTTGCAGTAGTCGGTCGCCGTCTCCTGGTCGCCCATACGTATGTGCGTCAGCTGCCCCTCAAGTTGGCCGATGAACAAGTCGTCGGTGACTTGGTACGTCGACTCAATGAAGTGCCACGCCCGGTGGCCGGCATCGAGGTACTCCCTGCACGACTTCAAGGCGATCTGCACGCCCGGCGAGCAGCACCGCGAGTTGACCGTGAAGGTCAGCAACTGCACCGCGCGAAAATCCGCACGCAGGTCGGGGTAGATCTCCTCCGACGTTGCCACGGTGCCACGGGCAAAGCTGATCAGCCCGGTCATCTCCAGCTGGGGCTCGATGGCTTCCTTCCAGGTGAGAATGTCGGGTCGACCGACCAGCAAGGGGTTGTCCGAGATCATGTCCGGCGTAAACTTGAAGTAGCCATAGCTCGGTGCAATCCGCCCGCTGTCACGTGGGTCGCCGACATCGGCGACAATCTGCTTCGACGTCCTCCGACGTCGCCCTGCGAGGTGCCTGCAGCCGCCGACGACTGAATCCCTCGCGCTTGAACGTTGCCGACTTCATCGGCGTGAATCACACCTCGCTGCCTCGACGTGCCTCCCGCACTGGTGCCGACTTGGCCACCACCGGCGTTGATGCCCAAGTCGACGCCGCCTTCAGTGTTCACCGGTTGAGGAGAAGCAGGCCGAGAGGTAGGGTGCTCCGTCTCCCTCACTGCGTGGGTGCCAGCCTCGACGACCGCCCAGGGCAGGTCGCCGTACTCGTTGGCCTCGTGCCATCTCCTCGCGTTCTCCAGCAGTGCCTCAAGGGTGTCCACCTACCTGCGTCACCTACGGCACTTACCATAGTGACTAACGCACAGCTACCGGCCTACAAACACAATATGTAAATGACAGCTACGTCGACCTCGTTGAAAGGTAAGTCGTGTGCCGTTCACGCTCAGCGCACCATGCGGAGATAACTCTATCAACGGGAGCTAGGCTACGGGCTAGGCATGGGGTAGGAGGGATCTCTGCGTTTGTTCCCTTAGTTGTTTACTCGTGCTTGCACTACTTGCTGGTTCACGGAGGAATTTGGCAAGAGTTCCACTAGCAAAAGCTCACAACATTTGATAGCAACAACGTTGGCATCACAGACTACATCAGAGCTGGCTAGGCTGCTGGTCGACCTCCAGCGCAGCATGGTCGACCGCGCTCCAGCGCAGCAGCGCTCGCACCGCTCCAGCGTTGCAGTAGCGGTTCGCCAACGTTGCAAGTCCACGGTGTGGCAACGCTGCAGCAAGTCGGCTTCACACCGTTGCACCCGCAGAACAACGGTGCACGTGCTTCGCAGGTGCATGCAGCTGGTTGGTGCACCACGCTTCGTCACGTGCACAACGCAGACGCATGGCAGACTCCACGCCCGCGACTGCGCCCAATAGCCACGTCAACCTCGGAATACCACCCCCGAGGTCGGCCTCGCAGATGTCACCCCGGCGACCTTCGCACATGTCGCCCAGGTATCCCAGTCGACCTGGCAACCACGCCTAGTCGACCAGCCTTGTTTGTCGCCGACTGCACAAGCCCGGCGTCCCCAGTCCGGTGTCCAGGGGCCCAGGGCGCCGACCAGACGCACAGGTCGGCGTCTAGCCGCCCAGGAAGCCGTGCAGACGCCCAGGTCAGCGCCCGGACTCCTGGGACGTCGACCAGACGCTCAGGTCGGTGTCCGGACGCCTGGGACATCGACCAGACGCCCAGGTCGGCGTCCAAACGCCTGGGACGTCGACCAGACACCCAGGTCGGCGTCCGGACGCGTAGGTTGGCGTCCAGGAGCCCGGGACATCGACCAAAACGCCCAGGTCGGTGTCCAGCCTTCCAAGACGCCGTCCAGGCGTCCAGGACGCCGTCCAGGCGCTGAGGACGACGCCCAGACGCCCAGGACGGCGTCCTCCTGCTCGGCGCCCTCTAGCTCGACGCCCTTGCAGTGGCTCCTGTGCCCACTGCTGTAGGTCGGCTGCATCCCCCGCACATCCAACCACGAGGTCGGCTCCGCCCAAGCGAGGACGGGGCCACACAACACTCCCGTTGACACGCCCCGAGGCAATGCCCACGGCCTAGAATCGTAGGCATCGCCGCATGGAAATGCATATGGGCGAGAATCACAGGCTACATACCAGGGAAATGCTGAAGGGCAAGAGTCATAGGTTGCACCCCAGGGAAATGCAGAGGGTCAAGGATCAGAGGCTGCGCCGCAGAGAAATGCAGATGGGCCAGCATTAGCTACGCACGAGTCAGTACGGAGACAGGCCGACGTGGCTAGCAAGACTCGCCACGCAAAGACCCCTCTCGATTACCTCGGGGAGAAAACCAGCGAATATTACATCCTCTATTGGCAGCACTACAAGTGGTGGGTCATCATGTTCGTGACAACTCTTCCCAGGGCTGAGGTTCCGGAGGAGGAGTGACTAAGGACAAAAGATGACGTTGGAAGCCATTTGGGGGACGACAGAAAGGAAGAGTGGTCAAGTGTGAATGTAGAATTCAAGTGCCCCGTGTTTCTGAATGTAGAATTCATGGATACCCGGAGTACATGGCAGACGAAACCATGGATCAGGCCAAAATGATGCCGAAGAAGTGGTGGCTGTGAAGGAGCCCATCCCTAGTACGCCGAGCATGATGAAGGCAAAGATGAGCGCTTTGGGCTTCCTGGGGCGACTTAAATCTCGACTCTACGACTTCCTTAAGTCCTGGGCGGATGACTACATCTACGAGGCGCGGGAGTACATGAAGCTCAAGCTGAAAGAATTGTACGACAAGCAGGTTGCGTGAGTATTAACACTCCCAGTTGCCAAACAAACTCTCAAACTTTCGAATTCTAATCGCGTTCCATGTGGATGTCTACAGAGAGGGCAAAGATCAGCACCGAAACTTGCTGGACGATTGCTACACGGCGGAGCAGTACACGGAGCTGCACGAAATTCACCTTCCAAGGGAAAGCAAATCATTCTATCGAAGAGCCAGGCGCGCACTATCACAAAGACTGTGGCAGTCTATTGCGGTGCTAGTGATGATTCAACACGCACACCAAATGTTGGGGAGGGGATGCAGCATTCGTGCACTTTGATTTCCCAACATGTTTGTCCGCAAGACGTGTAGCAGCACGGCCGTCCCCGAAGGCCAAAAGGATCTTCCTGTTGTGGTTTTCGCCTCTCGAAAAGCGAAGACGAATTCGACCAACAATCTGACCCACCAATTCTTGGCCCAGCACATCAACTTCATGCTTTGCAGTATGGGTGGTCTTTTCGTGTGGACTCATTTCATCTACGACCTCGTGCCGCTGCGCTTCGGCTTGGACATCGTTCCACCCCTGGACTTTAGTGACCCACCGTCATGGTCAAAGAGGCACCTCTTTTTTCGAATTGAGGAGGTGCGGGGATGGAAAGGATCACAACGCCTGGATTAATTGGGTCATGAACAAAGCAGTTCACCCATGCTGGCGGTTGAGCAAAAAGAACCATGCGTTTTGCCGGTCCAGAGCTCAAGGTATGAGTGACGATCGCTGTCCCGACCCCGACATCAACGCCCTCGGAGGTTGGGAGCAGGGCGAGATGCAAAAATCCTATGTGGTGGGAATGTCGTTTTGGCCGGTGTTGATGATGGCCGGATTCAGTAGGGAACCGGGAGATTACTACGTTGGCAGATCACACGCCATCCTTGACGACCCTGACGAGTGGAAAGAGTTGAAGGACCTTTTCAAGAACTACATCTTTTTGCGCGCCTCGAATCTGATTTAGCAAAGGTATCCTTTCGCTAGTCTCGCTTTGTGGGGCTCATTCTAGTTTTGTATCACGTGACAGAGTTCAATATTCTGTTTGTACGAACATCTCAAGTCGACGAGTACAACAGAACAAGAACTTTGAGTCAGATGCACCACTCTGGCAGAAGTTTTCTTGAGGCTCTTGAAGGCCCTGGGCGAGACATCGCGGCACGTGACCTTGCCATGTGGTGGTTCTACTGCCCCGATCATGACAAGAACTTCAACGGTACATGACGGCCATGCGACTGCCAGCACCACCCGTACACGGAATTGAATCCACTCTCCCAGCACGCACTGTTTAAGAAGTGGGCCATCAAAGTGGCAATCATGCACAAGGCTAGCATTGAACTTCGTGAAGCCAGTGGCAGCTCTGCAGCCGCTATAAGTACAATATTTCTGAGTATGTCTGAAACTCCTTGTCCGTTTCTGCACAGGATGCAATCTACAAGCTGAACACAACGCGAAAGTACCAGAAGCTCCTTGCAGAGAACAACTTTTACCGGACGGAATCTGGTCAGCAGCAGCACGGGACTGGCAAGCTGAAGAACAAGGTCGCTGAACGCGACGAGAGTCTGAAGAAGATGGCAGCTGAAATCGAGCAGCTCAGAGAAGTGTTGGCTGCTCTAAAGGTGCATGCCGGGAGAAACGCTGACGGACAGGCTGCCGGTCGAGGGACGGGCTCGTCGACAAAGGTGGCCAGCTCAAATTGGTGTATTAGAGTTGGGAAAGAGAGAATGAGCCTTGAATCTCCGAACCCCCTCTAAAATACTCCTTGGGGAGCTCCACCTCCTCCGTGGTAACAAGGACAAAGAGATCTTAGAGGTGAGTTTGCTTATGTGGCATACTGGTTGGATTCGCAACCATTGCGAGCAACACATTTGTGATAAGAAGTGTTTGGTTACCTCTTGTAACTTGTAACAGCAATGTTGAACTATTATTGGTTGGAATTCCCACCAATGTGAAGGTTGGGTTGGTTCCCAACCTTGGTTGTCTTTAATGGGTGGTTGTCCACAATTGTGGACCAATCTCCATTCATCCCTTCCAACCCTTTCTTCTCGTAAGTCGCTGCCTTACGTAGGTAGCACTTTAGAGAGTTATATCTAGAATAGCTGCTAGGGTGGGTAGGTGATGCGCTACAACATAAGGAGAGGTTCGTTCTGAACCCTCTTCCCACCTCCCTCTTCTCCGCGCCTTCCGCGCGCTTGTGGCATCCCCCCCACCCTCGCGCATGCCGCTGCTCTCATCGCCGCCCGCGCCTTCGCGGATACGGGACACGGCGGAGAAGAGCGAGAAGAGCACGAGGGGATGAGCGGCGGATTCGCGGCCCCCTCTCTCCTTGCGCCAAAATTTGCATTGCTGCGCTTAATAATAGGAGTTGAAGGGGTAGGTCGTGTGATCAGCTACTACTACAAGTAATGCTACGTCTAAGCCTCCTTGCTCCTGCTGGCCGCGGTCCATATTCTGCTCTTGCTATTGTTGTCATTGGTCTCACTACCAATGCCTCTATCGCTGCTGGTTTATCACTCTTAACATAGAAAGCCATGATAGTTATTGTTGTGTTCAAGGGCTATCAGAAATAGCGATAAATGGGAGTAAAACCCTA